TCTTTGAACTATCGCTGACTTTCAACTGCCAGGAATGTCGGAACTCGTAAGCCTCTTGTACCTTCGCGCCATCATATGAATAACACAGTCAAGTCATGCTTGCCGAGAATGTCTCATTAGGCGTTCTCGCCCTCCCACAAGCCCTCGCAATCCTTGGCCTAGTCCCCGGTCTACTCTGCATATGCTTCCTAGGCATCATCGCTACATACACTGGCTATTTGATCGGCGAATTCAAGCTGGCTCATCCGTCTGTAGCGAACTACGCGGATTGCGGCATGCTTATGAGCGGGCCTGTGCTTCGCGAGGTGCTTGCTGTCGGACAACTACTAGTCTTGATATTCATCATGGGGGCGCACATCTTAACCTTTGCGGTCGCGATGAATGCGATGACTGACCACGGCACTTGCACTATCGTCTTCACTGTTGTCGGACTGATTATCTCGTTCCTGCTAGGGTTGCCCAGAACGTTCAAGAACATCAGCTACTTTAGCTACTTTTGTAGGCCAAAGGATCCGATCGCTTCGTGTGAGCTCGCGACTGACACATTTCAGCTTGCGCTTCCATCATCGTAGCAGTTACGGTAACCATGATCGCGATTAGTATCCAGAAGCCAGACATGGGGAACATCGTTGCTGTGCGACCCGATGTACCACTCGTCAAGGGACTCGCACCCGTAAGAACATATCGCTGTACGGACTGTATGTGAGACATCTACTGACTTCGTACACACATTTTTAGGTGATGAATATCGTCCTAGCTTACAGTACGTTGTTTCCTGTTCTGTGGTCATTCGAACGTCTGCTGATTTCATACAGCTGGACACGTCGCTTTCTTCTCGTTCCAATCCGAACTCGAAGACCCTCGCGACTTCCGCAAAGCTCTCATCTTCGAGCAGGGTATCGCAGTCACGTTCTACATGCTCATCTCCGTCATCATATACTACTACGCCGGGCCTCTTGTAGCCTCACCCGCCCTCGGTTCGGCATCCCCCCTCGTCAGCAAGATTTGCTTTGGCATCGCGCTGCCCACAATCATCGTCGCAGGTGTAGTCAATGGATCTGTAGCGACCAAATACATCTACTTTCGTGTATGGAAAGGCACCAATGTAGCATCTACTAACAGCTGGAAGAGCTTGGGAAGCTGGGGTGCAATATGTACAGGCGCATGGTTGGTAAGCTGGATCTTGGCTGAAGCAGTGCCGAACTTTAATTTGCTGTTGGGATTGATCGGAGCGCTGTTTGGAAGCTGGTTTAGTTGTAAGTTACTGCCAACACGACTTACTGTGAATAATCGTAGGTGCATTGTCTGACGCGCGTAGATGCGCTTCCTCCACTGATGTGGCTATGGCACAATAAGAAGAACGGTAGGCTGTTCTCGTCGACTTCGCAAACGGCTTTTACCATCTTGAATATCTCTATTGTCATTCTAGGGATGCTCATTGTAAGTCCACTCCCCGAGGCGTTACAAGAACAGTGCTGACTCCATGCTACAGTTTGGGCTTGGAATGTGGTCGTCTGGATGGGCGTTGAACCGCGGGTCTGGTGGCAAGGTTTTCTCTTGCGATAACAACTGGCATCCTGTGAGCTGGGTTTCAGGAGGTGCCAAAGATGCATAGATGTAGCGCATGAGCTGGAAGAGTGTTCTCGTGCTTTTCAAGCTCGCTGATGGGCGCTATGGGGTGAAGAATCCACACGCAGGTTAATTAGAAGCGCAATTGTGTTGTAAGTATCAGAAAATCATCGCATTCGATATCAATTGTGGGCTTTTCGGGAGACTGTGTTGCTGCTGAACAGTAGCATCGCGCAAGGGAAGCTATGACGCGCCGGGACCTGCACAACCGAGCGTTGCGCATCTCACGACTCCTCACTTCACGAGCCAATGACAAGCCTCTCCTACCCCAGTGCGCGTCCGAAATAAGCTGTTTCCCGAAGAAAAAGAAGCAGGCTCAGGTAATCTGGCTAATATCGATGTGGACGGGAAATGCCAAGTGAGGAGGCTGGACGACCTGGCCTCGCTCGGGCTCACCACGATGCTTACGCTGCGTTTCCGTTGACTAGACGACGCACATATTATAGTTCTTACAGAATCAGGCCGAGGATATCTTTCCCGCGAACTGGTACGATTGTTCATATTGCGAAGGGTTGTACCACTGTTCCGCTGGTTTTCGTACTCCTGCCCTGAGCCAACCGTCCCACCTCGATTTCCACGAGCGCTCAAGCGTCCGACCCCGACCTCTTCGCTGCCCAATTTCCCCCTGATTGAAGTTTATACGTCCCCGCGACACTAACGCGACTGCGATATCATCTCGCGACTCCATTCTCACCATGCCCGTCGAGCTCCGTAAGCGCAAGGAAGCGCCCCCAGCGCCTGTGCGCCCGACGAAGAAGAAGGCGCCCGCCAAGGAGAAGAAGCCCGAGAGCGAGAAGACTGTCGTCGAGAAAGTCCAGGAAACTGTCACTGAGCAGGTCGAGGCTGTCAAGGAAGCTGTTGTCGGTAAGAGCAACGGCGATTCCGCTGCCGCTGCGACCGGCCCACCCAAGGTCGGCGACACAATTGACCTCGCGTCCTTTGGCGGAGAATTCGAGACGAACGACGGAGACAAGACAACGCTTGCAAAGCTCGTAGAGGAGAGCAAGGGCGGCGTCGTACTCTTCACCTACCCCAAGGCTTCAACGCCAGGATGTAAGTCTCCAACCCCTGACATCTCCTTCGCGTGCGCACAGCAGTACTAACGCGTACAACCACAGGCACAAAACAAGCCTGCCTCTTCCGCGACTCCTACGACCCCCTCACCGCAACCGGCTACTCCATCTACGGTCTCTCCGCCGACAGCCCCAAAGCCAATACCACCTTCAAGACCAAGCAGAAGCTGCCCTACACCCTGCTTTGCGACCCTTCACAGAGCCTCATCAAGGCTATTGGCTTCAAGAAGCCACCGAAGAGCACCACGCGCGGTGTCTTTGTTGTTGACAAGGAGGGCAAGGTGCTTGCGGTGCAGCCGGGTGGTCCGGCGGCTACGGTCGATGTGGTCAAGGAGCTTGTGGATAACAAGGATGGCGTGCCGAGTAAGGGGGATGCGGAGAAGGCTGAGAAGAAGGAGGATAAGGAGATGGCTGAGACGGCTGGGGAGGTCGCTGATAGTGCGGCTAAGGTGGATGGTTAGGAGGCTTGAGCCCCTCGTGTCACTGTCGCGGAGTTCAAGGTTTCAACAGCTTGGGAAAAGTGTGTGATACTTCATCGAATACATTTCTAGGTTTTGGCATATATTGACTACTCTCTAACTCTCGCGACTTTGCTAATGCGAAATGGCTAGGTCAACAGAGCTTCGCGTCCCTGAGGGCCTAGCATCTCTACTGCGATACGTCCGGGATAGTGGTCCTTATGCTTTCGAAAGAATCGTATGGATTAGAGCACTTTGTCTTGATCACAACGATGACGACGAGTACTCGGAGGAGCATGGTTTGGAATCGGATCCCTTTTTGGCCCAACGCAGGAAAGCGCATCATCACTCTTGCAATCATACCGTATGTTGAAATACCATTTCAATGACTAGCCCGAACTAGTACCAGGCCCCAATCTGAGTCGAAGGCGCACTCGAGTTTTCGTTGATACATAGGAAAGCGACCAGGTCTCGGGCTCGCTGTGATCGCATATGCGAACCAAAGCGTACCATGGCAGGTAAGGCAACCTAATCGAGGTCCGCGCCATAACAAACTGAACGGACGCTTTGACAGGTTCACGCGCCAGAAAGTGCCAGCTCATCGTTGCCAGTGACCGGTGGACAGCTCGCTCGGATAGTTGCACAGCCCGGACGTTCACCAGAACGTTGCTCCGCCAGAAAGAACCTGCATGTTGATTGATACATCAAGACACGATGCACACCAATATCGTGTTCAGAGCACCTGGCACAGGCTCCCAAGCTTATTTGACACCGCGAACGCGAACAAAGCGCAAAGAGCAACACACTACGACATCATGATGCTCAATGACGTCGCTTGTACAAGGCGCTCGTCGAGGCAGTTTCTGATGATATCACGCACAGAGACCTATCTGCCTAGACGATAGCAGCTTCATCTTGCACTGCTGATGTTGTTTCGGAGCCACCGGGGGTGCAGTCCAGTACCCTGCTGCGCCACAGCCTGGCACGAATCTGACCATGTGCAGCGGCTGACCGGTACCAGAATCAGGCTGCATATCAGGGAATCAAAAAATCAGCTGCGATGGTTCGAAGAACGTGGGAATCTGTCTGTACCATACGTTTACCGTTTCCGGTGAGTTCGTCTTACTCCAAACGCGTCCATTATTGGATTACAGCGCAGCCGCACGGTGGATTGAACGTCTGACCGCTTGCACGGAACGCAGGTTCTCCAAGGCAAACCTTTTTGTTTCAGATCAGGCGTTATGTGTAGCTTAAGCCGAGTCTTCAAACGCCACATGTGGAGCGGCTCAGTCGTTGTTCGTTGTATGAAAAACACTGGCACATAATGAATTTCGCATTCGTGAAAGCACTCGGAATGGATATCGAATTGATCGTGGTTCACAGTAACTAGTGGATTTTTAGATGATTTAGACGCTTTACTTGTGGAAGACATCTTCGCGTTACAAGGGTTTTCAGAAACTGCTTTTCACATCAGAGCAACGATATGTGCGGATATGATACCCCTTGTAGAGTTGCTGCGCCACCTAGACAAGGTCTAGGTCCGGTATGGACACGTCTGCCAGGCCTTTCCAGCGGATCTTGACCAGTCGAGCGCCCAAATCTGTGCTGTGAGCGCTTTCCGGTAATCCAGTCGTCGCCACTCTGCTGTGGCACAGCAAGCAGGCAACGTTATCAGGCTCTGTGGAATAAGCCCGACCAAACTAACACAGCCCTGATGAATTCTACTACTAGACTAGCCCCATGAACTCCTGCAGCAATGCTAGATATATGCGAACCTCGCCTCCCGCTTTCCGTCTCTTGCATTTTTACCACCATGGATAACCAAACCTTCACAGCCAATATGGATCGATCCAGTAAAGTCAACAAGTGTTTGTCTATGCGCGGTAAGCCAACAAGTCTTGCAATATATATCATCTGCTCGTGGCTAACATACCATTGAAGGTGATCGCACCGTATCGATCGACCCGGCGCTTCCTACCCAAGACTCTGGCCAGATGGATGGGAACGACGAGTTACTCAAGACCAAGACCAAGCGGTACAAGCTCAAATTCAGCTGCGCGTGCTCTAGGTTTAAACGATTCCTCGAATCATATCGGCCGTCCAGCGCAACGACATGCGATGCTCCTTCGCTATCACACATGCTCCGACGCAGCTTCACACCCGCAAAGAAGAACGAAAACTTCAGAAGGAAGGTGGATGTCTCTTTATGGGACAAAGATCGCAAAGAGTGGTCAAAAGCCAACATTGGCGTTGCTCTTGTGGATACGCAATGCCAGTACAACCTGATCACTCCTCAGTTTCTAGAGATGTTTGGTCTGTCACCGAGCCCCAGTACGGAACCGATCATGATAGCACTCAGCAACAATACCGAAGTGCCGTGCTTGGGTGAGGTCAGAGCAAGATGGTGGTGCAACGATTCTCGAAAAGTCCCTAATTTCCGACCGAAGTATGAAACATCGACCTTTTACGTGGTAGATCTGGAAATATTTCAACTCGTGATTGGGAGTGATACGATCGTAGAGTTGGGTCTCTTGCAGGGGAACCGCGCGTTCTTCGGAGCCTTTATGACTTCACCGCCACGTGTCGACTGTACGTTCTTAGCCGCAGATCGTAGACCATTACTGACGCATAACAGCTGCCAAGATCGCTCAAAAACAGCGAGAGGCTGAAGAGAGACGTAAGAAAGAGCGAGAGGAGAAGAGGAAGTATGAACAGCAACAGGTGAGCCGTCAAAGCTCTGATCCATGGTTGCAATACTGACTCGGACAGAAACAAGCAGCCGCGGCTCGGAAGCCCTGAAACCAAACATATTACACACTCGTATAACCCCTGGAATGGGTCTTTGGATACACTCATGATTGTTTCGGTCGCCGATTCCAGTTGACGTAAGGATGACACGTCAACAATGGACGGGGGCCGGACTGCGATGAGATAAAGACGACGGCTTTTTGTGTTGGCTGTTGTTTGGATCGCTAATTGGGAGACGAGCTGATTCGGGGCGGGGTGAGCTTTAACTCAGTCGCTCCAATGACTAAGTGGCCGGATGAGTCTGGTGCCGAAGTTGGTGGCGCACGCATGCAGGAGGTTACAACGCATACGACCGACACAGGTTCTACCGAGGCTAAGCGAAGGAGTTACGGGGTAAGTGGTCACCAATACTGTTTTCTTTGGGCGTGTTCATGTCTCCGTCTAGAAAGGATCGTTTCTTCTTGCGATTGAATTCAGAGTAACCCTCCTCATCCTACAGTGCTCCTATCAGATCCAACAAAGACGACCTGTACAGCAGCGAACCTTGAGTCTCGTCAGTGGGCGAGCGTCGAGGAGGATGTGAATGTACTCACGCAGCTGTGATAGCAAACATCTCGGCGCGTTTCGCGTTAGCCAAACCCATCAAGCAGATAGAAACCAGAACATTAAACCCGGCAATTATCCCCAGTCTTGCATTCATGGACTGAACGCGGTACAGCACGGCGATAGATGCTATCGGTATGAGAGACGCGAGAATACTGGTGATCCAGTACGTAATGCGATAGATAGTGCTATCTTCGTAGCCGACCACTCCATGAACGCGGGAAGGCTTCATGTGTCGAGCACAGCCACACCTGAAGAGGTTGGTGATGGCATTCTCCGCAGCCCATGCTGAAAAGGCGTCCTTCTTTGCGCGAGGACATAGAGTCACCAGATCTGGCTTGTAGGACTTTCGATTGCATGCAGAGCCCCATATCTCTGCGTCGTCTCCATTTAACGCAAGGTCGCCCATTGCTGCAGACTGGAGATAGTTCTGGATGTGGTGGAGATCCCAAGTGCTAGGCTTTGGATACTTCAGAATTTTGGCTTGTTGTACTAACGCGTCATCTACTTTAGTCAGCTCTATGCGTCCCCTGGAGAATGGTTGGACACACTGTACTCTTTCATTGTTTCCCTAATCTTCATAACCAATTCCAGTTGTTCACCTGCGCCATCCTTCTCGGATTCACGCAGCCAGAACCAATCCAGAGCAAATTTTGCCCTCTTCCCCGATCCGTCAATTTTGTCGGCCAGCTGTTGCTTTCGTAGCTTCTCTTCCAGATATGTGAGCTCAGCTTGCATGTACAGCAGGTTTTGAGCATTGAGAGCCCCAAACCTGCGGAATACAGCGAGCTCAGGCAGTATCTCCATCTGTGCAGCCAGTTTCGGATACCCTATTACAAAACGATCAAGCGGATCTTGCGACGACATTGTTCCTTGGTGGTTAGATAGCCTTCATACATGGTTCGAGTGTCACTCATTGCGCCCATATATGTCGAACTTAGCACTCGATTGTGCGTAAAGAGCCTCGACGTCATCCAATGCACCATGTGCAATTGATCAGCCATGCGTATGAAGAGGGCAAAAGGACCTCTGGGTGAAGCTGCATACATCTGCAATGTCAAGCAGCCCTCAGCCTGAGATGCAGGCATATTCGTCAGGCCTACATCTCATTCATCGCTACCTAGGTAAGCTATACCCACCCCTACCACCAGCGATAAACCACTTTTGAGTGCGAAACTCACATTCGTTTGGATCGTTGCGAAATCGATGACAATCGTAGCTCGAATGTTTCGATGTTGTCCATCTTTGTGCGACGAAACAGTCGTTATCCGTGGAGGTGGAAGCACAAGCGAAAGTACTTCAGATATCGCAGAACGACAAATCAAATGGAAGGGCAAATGAGTAGGCAGCCACAAGGACGCATCCTGGCTACGTTGGTGTATGTGAGATTCCAAGGTTTCGCAGCCTGCTGCGGATAAGGTTGTGTGCTGGCGCTAGCACTAGTCCACGGGTGGTTGCCTCCCGGCGGGCACCTGCCAGTCGGGTCACGCGTGCATCGCAGTCCGCCTGCAATCAATTTCACACTACACGAACAACACACCTGGAAACTATCGCTTCCACTCCATCTGCCCCTTCGCATACAGGAGGAGACAGCGGAGATGAAGAATAATACCGTTCCGAACATCAAAATTTGGCTGATGAGGCTACACTTCAACACTGATCGGTAAAAAACATGCCCTGCTGCTGCGCCCATCTGACTACCCCGGGAACAGGCAATGATTGCCTTCTTTCAGGCAATGACGCAAGAACAGTCGAGATCAGTTCGCTCGGGTGATTCAATCACGTATCAGTAGGATGATGACTGCGCCACTAGAGAGGACAAGATTCTCATTGGATTTGTCCCGCTTGCGCAGCGCATCTGAGCTTTCATGTTGTTCGAGTTGCCATACGTGCAGTCCTTCAGGGTAATGCACAGGATCCTTCTGCGCGACCGAAAACGTGCCTTGGGCTATTGGCCACTTTTATATAGGTGGGCTGTATGCCTCAACTTTTGGAGGACCTCCTTACTCATTACACTCATAACGTACATCTCGATTCAACACGCATCAACAACGCTATCGCATTCCCATTAACAACGATATCACATTTCCGCGTGAAACACCACCCTCAAACCAATTGAATACCAAACATGTGCAGTTGTGGACTCTCCAGGTTGCTGTCATTTGGTGTGCGTCGTCCTCCACCGTCATCGGTCATTGTTAACGAGATCCAGCGAAGACAACGAATCCCTCAGCCGGTCCAAATTGAGATCTGCTCTCGAACAAAGGGTAGTTCGGAAACCTGGGAGGTAGCAGTCCTCTCATGCGATCCAAATACAACGGAAAGCATCATATCACGGCCCATGTTGCAAGTACTGGATGTTCCAGTGCATGCAAGCGAAAAAACGGAGTGCGTTCTCGCCAATAATCGAGGCGAAGGGGTGGAAGGATACGTCGACTTGACTTGGTGCTTCGGAAACAATACCAAGCATATACAAGAGACCCGCTTTTGGGTGACGACTACAGAGAATCCCGCATACGATGTGGTACTGGGGCGAGGGGATGCTGAAAAGTTCGGTCTCGTGAAGCCGGGAAGACACTTCTGAGATGTCACTAATCCCAAGCGTATATCGCTTCGACACCAAGACTATCTCTTATTTCCTATCTCATCTTGTCGCCGCATAGATTCCTGTATCAAACAACAGACATGGTGGTCAAGACGAACTGTAGTTCGCTGGCGTACCCGTCTTTGAGCCTCAAGCACGCCGAAACTCACTTCCTGGATAAAACCAGGGACTGAGTAGGCTGTTGTATTTATCGTTTGTTTCCTAGCCTTGCATCTCATCTGCTACTGTCATTACGGCCACACTTCTGTTTTGTTTCGTGTCCTCCGTTCGTAGCAATAATGAGTACTTTACACTGTGTTTCGGCATTTGCTCCACTTGTCAACAGGTTTTACCCCAATGCTTTCAAGGAGATCCTTTCTTCCTGCTGATAACATGATGCTCACTGCGAAGAGAAGTGATAAGCATGGTAATGTGATGTGGATTTGCTTTGCACATTCACTACTGGAATATGCCTAACCTCATAGCTTCTCCATCGACGAATGCATACGGCACTTGCATGATAGCGAAACGGGCCGTTGCAAATCCCCAAGTCTTTCTTCCATGCTTGGTCTACCAGCTGACCACTTAGACGCATGAGTCCTTTTCCTTTCCACTCAGTGTTATGGATTGTTCGGCTTGCTATTGGAGGAACCAACATCGATATCGGCATGCAGAAAGACCCCAAACTGGGAACACTCACCGGACTGCTCGTAGGAAGGCGGTAGTGTAGGCCTCCTCACAGGTGGGGTCGAATGGTCGGCAACATCATCAAGGTCCTCAAGGCTGATATTGGCGGCCTCTGCCTCCAGGTCATGGGTATCTTATGGGGTGGTCAGACACGTGAATCATAGGCTCATTGCACAATACACGTACTAATGATGGGGCGGCCCCGTAGCCGCCGAAGTAGGACGCAGCCAAGCGAATCATGGTGGTGAAGACCAGCCAGGGTAGCCACCGTACTGAAAACACCAAATACACCAAAGCAAATCTGCAAGGCAAGCTCTGTAGAGCTGTCTGCATGAGACATTGGGTAGATTATTGGAGAGGTACTAGCAACAAGAGGCCCCGGGGTTGGAATAGGCAAGCAGTAAGGTGATTGAGACCAGAAGATAGCGGTAAGCCAGGTCACTGCAAGTACCAGAGATGACAAAGACTTAATTGGAACAGTTGCAAGTGGATGGTACCATTATGGGACATCCGCACCCCGGGATCTTATAGCATTGTCTTGATGATACGTACCTTTTCCCGCATCATGAGCAAGATCGTATAATTCTTTTGGGATCATAAAGCTATGCCATCCTCTCTATATACTTGAGCCGCATTGCAGTTTGGCAAAGAAGGCAAGAGCCGCAAAAAAAGAAGGCAAGAGCCGCGTGTTTTTGAGTCTTTCTCACCGGTGCGGAGAACATCAACATAGCCCGATAATTAGCCCACGTAACACCGGGTCTTAGCTCCAATGACGCTCACAAGCCAGACAAGGCCAATCAGAGAAACATACGTCTCAGCCTCAGGCAGAGAGCCTCCAGCGTGCCGAAGTCAGCCTCCTTGCAGAGTTCAGCCTTGGAGGTCAATTGGGTGTGGAGAGGCCAACGCAGCCTAGAGATGCATAAATCCCTCAAACTTCACCCTCAGTATCCACAAGAACCGGTGTTCAGAAGGAAATTCAAGGCATGAGTGTAAAAGAGCTCTATACACAGCCTGCTTAGTCAGGGCGCACTCGGAGGCATACCTAGGTACCCGCCACAAAGCCAAGGCAGATCTGGAAAGCCATCACACGTCACGCGTCACGCATCGCAGCGTCGCAGCCTTGCCATCAAAAACCAAACTAACAACGAAGTGATGGTAACAAATCAAATATCAGGGTATCAAACATCCTAGCTCCCTTCCCTCCCAGGCCTATACGGAATATACGCATCACCCACCTCGGGTACAACAGCATTGCCATCAATTTCCACCGGCGCAATAGGTTTCCTCGGCACCCTCGCCAACCCCGCAAGTTCCGTCGCTCCTTCTCCATCCCCCGGACTACTCAGTCCTACGCTAGAACCTCCATATGCCGGTGCAGTACTAGCCAGTTTCTGACGCTCAGCTTCTGTAGCATCCATCTCGACGTTCCATTCGGGGGTCTCATGTGGGTTTTGTGATGGGTTGGCGTAGTGCGCTGCGGTTGTGGTTGTGTCTTTGGGTATGGCGTGGTAAGCGGATGGAGAGTGGTTTGCGTTGTCGTCGATGGGCCTTGTTGGGTCGTCGTATTTCTCGTCTCCCATGTGCTTTGATGCGAGGGCTGCTTTTCTGTTCTTCTTTCGTCGACGCCAGAGGAGGAATAGGGCTAAGGCTCCGAGGATCATGACGAGTGGGACGACGGTGGCTATCGCTGCTATGGCACCTGTTGAGATGCCATTCCCACTGCCGTTGCTGTCACCACCACTTCCTCCTCCTCCTTGGCTTCCACCACTGCTACTTGCGGATGCGCCAGTCGCTGTGTTCGAAGCAGTCGGGTTCACGCTACCGGCGTCACTGGGCTGATACCTCAAGTGCAACGCAGTGATACTCGGCGTCGCACTTGCCGGCCACGATCCTCCAGCATATGTCCTCAATTCATTCTCTTCCGCGTCCGCTTCTCCACATTCAACAACTGGGAAGTTGCCACTGCCGCCCGGTCGACATCCATCTCTTCCATCTGCCTGAAACCCATTGGGGCAACACTGCAACCCAATCTCTCCGTCTATCCACCTGTTGTCACTGCCCTCTCCATTCGCGTCGGTTTGCGTAGCAACGGCCGTCCAGGAAGCTGGGCATGCGGTAGCGGGCGAGTAGAATGCGGATGGCGATGGGTATATATTCGATGTTACCCAGGGCATGCAAGCGGTGTTTATGCTGAAGGGTATCGGGTCCTCGTCTTCTTCAGGGAAGACACATGTCTCGCCCCATGCGACGGCGCCGTTGAGATTGCGTAGTGTAGCGCATGCTTGAGGTGGTGCGGTCGCCCATGCTGTGTCCCAAGTGTGTTGTAGGCTTCGTGATGTAGACGTCATCACGAAAGAGAAGAACTTCAGTCCTCACCACAGCCACGGCTGTGTTTCTGGGCAATGCTGCTAGCTACGAGATAGAGCTAAAGATTGAAAGGATAACAATGCCAGAGAAAAATGGCAACGATGCGCAATGGCTTCACAGCAATTTGAGGCCTCCGAAGACACGCCGCTGCATCGGGGGAATTAAGTACATTATTCCCAAAAGCCCATTCATCATCGGCAATACATCACCAGGAACACAGCCTTGCCAG